TGATATATATATCCTTTGCCTCAAGTCTCTTGCAAGGCAACAACCAGTGGGTCAGTCCAGAGTCGGTGGGCTCTTCTAAAGGCTCATTTAGGGAAAAATCTGTTTCCATGTTCAGGTTCAAGCCTTCAGACTCCTGAGGGCTTTTGCACAGAAAGCCTAAGTTCCAGACGTCACCCCCACCCCATTCCCTTCCTACATGAATCTCCCCACAATGCAAAGTTACTTCAAGTTTATTCACTGCAAGTCAAGAAGGCAACAGATGGCTTGCTAACAAGGCAATCTCCTTTCTGAAACTTAATTGCCAAAGTGATAGCTCATCACCTTTGCTATTGTCCATTGATTCAAAGAAAACCACTGGATATCAAGCCTGGGCCCTGCTTTGATATGAATTCACTTCCCCACAAGATAAAACTGTAAGTATTCCTCTTGGCTCTTCAGCAGGTTCGCTGACCTGTCCCCACTGGAATCCTACACCTAGTCCTCTGAAGTCATCCTCACTCTGCATCTCCAGCTTCTGTTTTCAGAGGCAACTGATATCCAGCCCCCCACATGATGCAGACATCTTCACCCATTCACCCAGTCAACTTTACCACATTCCAGATGTCCTTCTTTCTTGCAGAATAACTTGCTGGTGCCTCACTGTATTTCTTAATTGAAATTAAGCCTAGTGTAAATTCCTGGCCTTCCCTGTGGCTCACACATAGCCGTTAAATGCGTTTGGAGCATCTACATGGTACCAAGCACTGTGTTGGGCACCTAAGACTAAAATGTCAAACAGAAAGGCCTAAGGATCAAATTGTATAATAGATAATGTGAAATAGGAAGAAGAGGTCCAAAGGGGAGGGGGAGTGGAAGGGGTAGGGAAATGGAAAGAAGGGAAAGGAATAAATGTGAGAAAAGAAAAAGAAGAGAGAGAGACACACAGAGGCAGAGACAGAGGGGGGGGAGAGGGAGGAAGGAAGGAAGGAAGGAAGGAAGGAAGGAAGGAAGGAAGGAAGGAAGAGGAAGGAAGGAAGGAAGGAAGGAAGGAAGGAAGGAAGGAAGGAAGAAAGAAAGAAAGAAAGACCTGGTCTGTGCCTTTAGCAGTTTTCATCCAGAAGGGAAAGCAGACTGTCTTAATTACTATTCTCTCATTGCTGAGACAAAATACCCAACATGCAAAGATAAAGTGGAAACGATTTATTTGGCTTACAGTTTGTAAAAGTTTCAGTCCATAATCGACTGGCTCCAAGGCAGGGTGGAAAAGGAACAACAGCTCATGGCCCCTGGAAGACAACAGAAGCAACTAACAACTTAACAGTGTCTCTCTGCCCCTTTTATCTTATTCAGACTACTCAGAGTGGATAGCACTCACATCCTTAATTCTAGTGCTCTTGAGCCTAGCGTTGCATCATGAATCAATCCCAGCACCACACACTCGAGACCTCTGCAAGAGTCTGTGATCACATGAGGTTTTGGGGGACATCTAGACACAAACCATAACACAGACTTAGGAACAAATCACAAATTATTACCATTGTAGTTGGTGCTACAAAGGGTAAGTGTAGGGAGACACAAGAGTACAGAAGAGACCATCTGAGACTCAGTCTTTGGATCTAGGAGGGCATTCCCGAGGAAGGGTCAAAGTGGATCTGAAAGACAACTCAATAAGAAAGTAGAACAACATTCTAGGCATAGAGAAGAGTGTATAAGAGATCCTGAGACCCAAAAGAACTGCTAGAAACCACAAAAGCAAAAACATGAACAGAGGAAGCACAAAGAAGCTTGACACCCAGGAAAGCTGGAGGAGGAGCTGGCAGCCAGGAAGAGTCAGCCCCATGTGTCTACCCCACCACTCCTGGAGCAAGAACAGTGCCCTTACCTCGGTCTCATTTGATAGTTTTAGTAGAAACATCACTGGAACTTACTTGTGCCTAGAAGAGTACATAATTCCATTCCAGGCAGCATCTTGACAACATCTTATCTTGGTGAAGTGTGTAACTCTGTCCTCTTGGTCATGCAGAAGGGCTTTGTGATGTGAGCCACTTGTATCCACCAGGCAATTGCAGATTTGTAAACTGAGCTTAGTGCATGCAGACTGGTTGTGGTTCCTTCCCAGGGAAATACAACTTCTGTACATAGCAGTGGGGTCTGACGCAATTTTCTTTGGAAACTTCCCACTGCTGCTCTTTGTTCTCCGTTCCTCTAAGTTAGTGGTTCTCAGTGGGGGAATCATGGAACCTTTGTTTTGTTACTGGGGATCGAACTCGAGTCCTTGTGCTTGCGAGGCAGGCAGTGGAACCACTGAGCTAAATCCCCGGGCCACATTGTGGAATCTTGAGGGGGTATTTTCAGTAGTTTGAATGACTGAGCAACTCCATTGCATTTATTGGGCAAAGGCAGAGCTGTAAACATTACACAATATAAGAGACAAGTCGGCATAAAAAAAAATTGTCCGGTGCCTTATGATTTCAAAATCCCACCAGATATGGACATAGGTATAAAACTTATTCATAGTTTTCTGAGACTAGGGCCCATGTTTTTCATATAAACACATTATTTTTTATGCACTGAATTATCCAATTGTGAAACTATAGTGGATATTGATGATTTGTTCTCCTAAAACTTTCCCCAGGGATTGTTGTCATTTTCAAAGGTTACATTACAGTATTTGACTCACCAATAGGGCACTTCAGTATAAATTTGTCTTTGAAGCTGTCACACTCAAGATGGATATATATTTTTAAATGCCAGTTCTAAAGAAGATATCATCAATAGTAAGTTAAATGTATATTACTACTTCTAAATCCATTTGACCCAGCCAACCCTTTGCTGGGTATCTTTCCAAAAGAATTAAAAGAATTATACCACAGTGATATATGCACACCTATGTTTATAGCGGCACACTTTGTAATAGCCTAAACTTGGAAACAGCCCATTTGCCCATCAGTTGGAGAGTGGACAAACAAGATGTGGTTTTTCTATAAAATGGAATACTACTCAGCCATAAAGAATGAGAAATTAGAGTCATTCATAGGAAAATGGATACATATTGAGGATATACTCCTAAGTGAAATAAATAAGTCACACATGTGTAAATACCAAATAGTTTCTCTGGTGGGAAAAAATATAATGGTACATAAGATCCTAATGATATAATTGACAATGTGAAATAGAAAGAAAAGGGCTAAAGGTGTAGGGGAAGTAGGAAGGGTAGGGGAAAGGTAGTAAGGTAAAAGGAAAAAAAATATGAGAAAATGAAAAAATGGAAATAAAATATTTGTAAATAGGGAAGGGAGGAGGGGATGAAGGGAGGGCAGGGGTAAGGAGAAAAAATGAAAACCAAGATCTGTCATATAAAGGTACAAGATCCCAATAATGAATGTAACTGAACTGTATACCTAAAATGTACCAATAAACTCAATGAGAAAAAAAAAAGAAGAAGAGGAAAGCAAACTTATGCAATCTAGTTCCTTGCTCCTAAGAGTGGTCCACAGTCCAGGAGCATCTGCATCATGATCATGGTGAAGGTGGTTAGAAAGAATGATCTCAGGCTTCACCCAGATCCACTGAACCTGGATCTGTAGTTCCATATGATCTCCAGATGATTCACATGCACATCAAAGTTTGAGAAGCTCTCTTCTAGGTTCTATAGTCTTGAGCAGTAGGGGAAAACATTTTCTTATTATAAATTGCTTTCACTTCATCTTCCCTCTATCACAGTTAGGAAACTATACATATATATGTGTGAGTATATATATAAAATGTATATAGAGCCAGGGATCTAGTTCAGTGGTTCTGCTGCCTGCCTTGCAAGCACAAGAACCCAAGTTCGATCCCCAGTACAAAAAAAAAAGTATATATATATATATATATATTAATTGTACTTAAAGATGTGTTCTATTAGTAATGAATCTCACCTCAAAAAATTAAATGTAAGAATGTATTTTAATGAAAGAGGATGTTGAGTCTGATCCATTGAGAATCCTCCCCCAAGATCCCAAAATTCAATAGTTGGTTGTGAGGGACTTTGGAGCATCTAAATGAGAACAGAACATCAGGGTGAAATTTCTCTAGACTTGGCCATTTATAAATTCTAATGAGTCCTAAATCTGTATTTCCAGAACTGAATAACAACATGTCTCTCCCTCAGAGCATCCTGAATATATCCCTTCCCTCTAATAAACCATGTCACAGAGTAAATGTCTCTGTGCTCCTACAAGGTTAGCCTACACTGGTTGATTTATTTTAGAAACACTCATTGACCTCCTTTGATGTGTGATGCAATGATCGCAGGGCTATGCAGAATGGAAAGACAAAGTCCAGCTGGTGGAGCCCACCACAGCCTAGAGCAGAACTAAGAGGTTCACAGATGTCCTGCTTCTGGGGAAGCCTACTCTGCATGCCATCACTACTCTGCTGCCACGACCCACACAGCTTAGGGGCCAAGCCGGGAACAGCAGTGGAAGACAAAAAATGGGAAAATAATAAGAAAGAAGGCAAAATTATGCTTTATAACTGGGACCAGGTGGGACCATAGCCTGATGAGCTATGTTCACCTTGGCATCCAGTGCGCTCTTTACTGGTAGTGTAGGAAGCCGGAGTAACTAGTGCCACATGGCCCACATGGCCTAGGCTGAACGTGATTGTCTCATGATTGGGGCATGTGCAGAAAAGGAAGGAGGATACATAATGTAGCTGTCTCCTGAGGTTGTGCCATCCAGGATCTACAATCTCAGTCTGACTCTCTAGTCTAGGGAGGAGAAAGGGAGTAGGGATTACGCAAAAAGCTATCTTCAGGCTCCACCCATGGCACTCTGCCACCTCCTACTGTGTGGATCATTCCATCTCTCCCCCAGAAGGTCCACGTCACACATGCTTCAGTGTTTTTAACAGCACTCAAGTCTACCTTCCACTTAAGTTATTGGATGCTCTTCTCCTTCACAACAGGTCTTTTTAAAAACAAGATGTGTCTGCTCTCTCTGTCTTTACCTCCTAAGCTCTTGCTCATTCTACAACTCACAGCAGCTAATTTCTGAGCTCATCATCCACAAAAACCTTTCTCACCATGTACTAGCTTGTTACTAAAGCCATCAACTCAATAAACACTTTCTCTAGACTTGTCCGTGTACATCGCTTAATGACTCCTAAATCTATTGTTCCAACACTGTTCTCTCTTTGATAGACTTTTAGACAACTCCACTTAGATGTTTGTTGTAAAATTACCTCGAACTCAGAATATCCAAAACTAATTTAATCCATCATCTTTCTCCCCAAGGAATGTTCTTCCTTTCTCAACCTCTTTGTCAGTAAATCACCATCCCTTATTTGCCCAAGCTGAAAACCTGAGCTTCATTCTTGACCCTTCCCACATTACCACACTCAATTAATCACTCTCAATACCATGCCTTAATCCTATAGCCCGAGTCCCCCCACCATGCTGATATGGTTGCACGACCACCCATGTTCTCCTTATTTACCTCATGATAAAGTTCAGCAGTGAACGTCCCCTAGCACTTCACCCTATTCTCATTTATCTTCTAACTGGGGCTACCTCAATCTTTCTAAAATAGAAATACGGTCAAATTACTCTTGCCCTCACCCTTCTAGAAGCTCTGATGAATATTTTGTGGTCAAGAGGACCAAATCAAACATCTTAGTGAATAAGGTTTTCTTAGAAAAATGGAGTGCTCAGAATGGTTGGAATATTGTTCAGGATGTCTGTGGTACTACATTAGTCATCTTCCCATCACTGAGACAATACACCCAACACCCACATCTTGAAGGAAGTGAGGTTTATTTTGGCTCACAGTTTCAGTGGACTCAATCCATGGTCAGCTGGCTCCAAGACAGAGACCACATGGCAGAGGAAAGCTGTTCATGGCATGATGGCCAGGAAGTAGAGAAAGAGGAAAGGAGCCAGGGATGAGAACACCCTTCCAAGTCGCACCCTCCACGACTGGCCCCTTCCCAACAGGATCCACTCCCAACTGTGAGAATTTGGGAGGACATTTTAGATCTAAGCCATAAGAGTTGTACGGTGCCCTTCAAGGAAGGGAAGAGATGAGCTACAGAGGTGTGTGGGGCAGGTGAGGAAGGGCCTGGTCTGTCAAAGTAAGGGGTCTAAATTCATCTAAGAGCAACAGAAAATACATCTTTGCAAGGTTTGAAGCAGGTAAAAGATTTAATACAGCAGGTGCACTTTTGGTGCCTTACATCTATTGACTCTACTCTCCTCTGGTTTCAGGCTCAGCTGTGGGAGCTCAGTGAGAGGTCATACTTCACATGATGGAGACATCTTCAGCCATGACCCTCCCTCAAGCTGAAGAGACAGGGTTTCTTTCTGCCTGGCCTGGGGACTTCTTCAGGACAAAAACTGTCACCAGATGTGCAAAAATGCCTTGAAGAATTACATGCACACACACACACACACACACACACACACACACACACACTTTGCAAGTTCTAAAGGGTAAGAGAGGAAGAGGTGAGATTGAGTTCAACTATTCAAGCCTTGGGTGGCTGAGAAGATGAAGGTGATGGTGACAGAATCAGAGAACTCATCAGGGAACACAGGTAACTGGAGATTATTGAGTCAGTGAACCAAAGATAGGGCAGGGAACCAAATCACAAAGAGGTGAAAATTCCACCTGCAGGGGAGAAAAGATGGGGCAGGGTATGACACAAGAGCTCTCTTCAAATGTGTGAATATCTATCAGTAAGTAGAGGCCATGAAAGGGGTGAGAGAGAAGTATTATGAACAAAGAGCAGAGAATCTCAAGGAGGTGGATTATAGCTATATAAGTGCTTTCTAATTGGTCCCTAGGTTGGCATCCTGTCTCCCGGGGACTCCTCAAACAGGATGTCCAGGAGTTGGCAAATCTCTGAATTCCACAAGGGCTTGAACTGAGTTTGCATTCAGCCCTCTGAATGTAGGTTTCTGTGCTCCAACCTCCATTTTCTTCCCTCTCATTTCTGACACTCCTTCACATTCCTGGCTTTTGCCTGGGAAGCGACTATGATCCAGAGAAAGAAGAAGCAGATGCTTTCCCTTAGGGCCTCCACCCATTGCCCTGTCTAGGAACCTTTGCTCTCCCCCTGGACTCCCCTACTCTGAAGCCAGAAAGGGCCTCACTCCCTTTTCAGGCCTCATAATGTGTCACCACTCCAGGCTTCCCTACACTTCAAAGGTGCCTGTCCACATTCCCTGCCCTAAGGGTAATGCTCTGAGAAACAGAGCTATGCTACTGATTTGAAAATAAGTGGCTATTTGCCTTCATTGACACAGACCAAAGGGCCTGGATCAACTGGTCAGGAGGCTGTTTGGTGCACCCCAGCCACACCATGCACATGGCCATCTAGTCCCCTTGTTCTATTTACCCCCAAACTTTTCCT